CGCCCAAGCAGCAGCAGCAGCAGGACGGCAGCAGCAGCAGCAGCAGCAGGCGTGGAAGCCTGACGCAGCTTCAGTGGAGCGCAGACGCTGCTGCAGCAGCAACAGCAGCAGCAGCAGCAGCAGCAAATGCACAGCCTGTTCCTGTGCTGCTGCGGGGCTGGAGGGCAAAACTAAAATGTTCAAAAGGCCATCCATTCTGGAGAGACTTTCAAGAGCTGCAAGCAGGACTCTGGTCTGCTGCTGCTGCTGCTGCTGCTGCTGCTGCTGCTGGTCCTGGGGCTGTTGCTGCTGCTCAGGTTGTTGCTGCTGGGACTGCTATTTGCTGCTGCTAAGGAATTTTACCCTTGTGCGTTGCAGCTGGGGACGTGATAAGACTGAGGGCCTAGGGTTTAGGGTTTAGGGTGTAAGACTGAGGGCCTAGGGTTTAGGGTTTAGGGTTTAGGGTTTAGGGTTTTGCGCAGGTGCTCCGTCTGTTTGGCCTCAAGCTTTTTCACTCCAGTGGCTCGCCTAAGAGCCATCAGCAGAGATAAGCAGGTAAGCAAAACCCTAAACCCTAAACCCTAAACCCTAGGTCCTCCGTCTGGGGTTTAGGGTTTAGGGTTTGGTGTTTAGGGTTTAGGGTTTAGAGCTGCGCTTTTGCCTTCAGCTGGAACAAGCTATTCGTGAGAAGCAGCAGCAGCTGCTGCAGGAGGCACGGCAGCAAATGGCCGCATCTGCTGCTGCTGCTGCTGCTGCTGCCTCGCGAGCAGGTGCAGCTAAACCCTAAACCCTAAACCCCAAGTTCAGTTCACGCGCTTGCGCTATTTTTGCATCTGGAAGTTTGGGGCCAAGGGTCTAGGGTTTAGGGTTTAGGGTTTAGGGTGTTTCAGGTCCAGTCCCTCCATGCTACAAACCCCACCGAGTGCAGCAGCAGCGGCAATCTGCTTCAGCGCAAAATGCTGCAGCAGCAATAGAAGGTGAGCATTTGCTGCTGCTGGAAGTGAGATGTTTAGGGTTTAGGGTTTAGGGTTTAGGGTTTTGTGGGTTTTGCCTCAGCCCAGTGCAGGCGTCAGGCT